ATGGTAGCCTAAGCCACACCACAGCCATACTGCAGAGGTAAGCAGATGGCCATGACAGCCGCTAGGCACAGGCAGGAGGAGCTGCGGGAAAGAGTACAGAAGAAAGGCAGCTTAGACATTCTGCTATCACCCAGCTCAATGCGTCTCCTCCCACACAGAGCTGCTCTATGCAAGTGCCACTTCACTGTTAATAGGCTGATCTGTCTTCCAGGACTTCACTATACTCAAAGTGAGTCATTGTTTATGTTGACAGCATTAACTAAAAATGTGGAAACTTAGAAGCAGATGGAGTAAGAAGGCACTAACAGTTCCTAAATCTAAAACTCCACAAGTTAACTGGACTCCAAGTACTGGTGATTCTGTGTCCTCCACATCTCTCTGTCCGTGAGCCATTTATTTTTTTACCACTCCTGTCACACTTCCCTATCTCTCTCCTGACCTATCACCATCACCTTCCTTTACACCCATCCCTCTCAAATTCACTTTTACCCTATCACTAGTATTATTTCCAAAGTGAAAATCTAAAGGTCTTATTACCTAGCTTAAAACCCTTTAATAATCTAAGAGGATCACAATTAAATTATATGACATCTCTGTTGTCTCTTCTATAGTCAATCAGCTCCTTAAAGGGGGGAACATAAATTTAAAATTCCTCCTTGAATTCATAAAGGTGTTCAATAAAAACTTGCTGAAAGACTGTGTTGCATCATTACTTGCAACGGTCTATGCTCACATTTCCTATCGGCTCCATTTAGATCAACCTGGCTTGCTGCAACCTGCTGAACTCCAAGGTCAAAGCCAGTTTGTGATACAAGGAGGACAAAGTGACATAGAATTGCTGATGTACATGGACTCAAGCCATGGCACTAGAACAGATTATAAGATTCCTTCTTGCCTCTGGATGTCGGTCAAGACAGCAGCAATGTCAAGCTCTGTGGTTTTTCCTTACTTCTCTTTTGAATGGAAAGCCTTGAAATGCTCCTTCTTGAAAACATCTAAGAGGCACACCCTTTACTGTTTACCAACTGCAGCCGTGACTCTAATACTTGTTTGAAATATATCCGATATGTCTTGGCAACCTCTCAGGGCTCTGTGGAACTTTAACTGTAGTGGGGTTGGGCTTAGTTAAAAAAATAAAATGTTCCTTCCGCTGTGCCATTATTTCCTATCTGTTAGCAATGAGGACAGAGGTGTCTTTTCTTAAATAAGTGTTGAGTCAGTTTGCACAGGTTTATGAAAAACATTCAAAGATATACAAAGAACATTATTTTGGAGATCTTTCAGGACATAGCATCTCATTCATAATATAAATTTCTTACTTTGGTATAGAAAGATACAACATCTTTTGCAGAATTAATTTTTAAAGTGATAAGATGGTAATTACATATGTGATTTGCCTACAAGTCACACCTACCAGGCATACATGCATACACACACACACACACACACACACACACACACATACACACAAACACACATATGAGGGTACTTCAAAAAGTTTATGGACAGATTCATATTATCTTTTAATTATATTTTTCTATGAACTTTGTGAAGTACCCTCACACACACACACACACACACACACATACTGTGTGTATACATATATACACATACAAACATACATATATTATAAATATTATACATAGATTTTATGTATGCTATATACGAATATTATACACACACAAATAATGTTCCATCTTGTGCTTAGTACTTTTGCTTGGCCTACCTACAACTTTGAGAAGGACTGCAGGCATTATGGGCTAGATATGGCATACATGGTATAGGGTGTTCCTTTGATAGTCGCCTGCTCTTCAGCCTTTTAAAATCTTAACTGAGCATTCCAGTCCCCACTGAAATAACACCAACCTCCTTCATGAAGTGCTCCCTAATTCATCACAGCTGAGGCAACTCTCCCCTCATCACTACTCCTGTAGAGTATGGTTCAAGCCATTTTGATAGTTAATATACACTGCTTGATATTGTAATTCTTGGTGTACATACTCGATCTCTTAATTCATGATAAATGCCTTGAGGGAAGAATCACTGTATTCCTCATAACCCTAAGTTCAAGCTTTGAAAATAGAAAGCTCTTAAGAAACAACTGTACTTTGAACTTGTCAAATGAGCTATTTCAGTCCACTTTGATCTATTCTTTCTCATAGCACCTTGACCATTTGTCTTCATTGTACAATCTAGATCTTAAAGCTATACAGTCTCCCATTAATTCCTGTAAGTTCCTCTTGTCCCTGTTAGACTGAACTTCTTTGGGGAAAAGGCTTGCCTACTTCTACCTTAAGTTACAGAGGTCAAAGGGGATGTTCAGTTGTGGATGGATTGATATGGTAGAGATTGTGACCTAATTTATAACAGGCACTCCTTAGAAGAATATTTATATCCATCAGATCTTTATGCAGATTTCTCATTAGCAACATCATTCTAGGAGCTTCAATGTTGATGCAACCAGTTGATAGCTAGGTCAACCTGGTGAAGCCCTTTGAAATGAGGCATTGTTGATCATTCTGGATTTTGGAATGTGAAATTTTTCCTGAGACTATGTAACCTACTTTGAGGAGCAGATATAGAGCCTCCTATTATGGATGAGAGACAAAGGGAGAACGTCTGTTACAACACTTTAGCTAACACAATAATGGCACTGTTCCTTGTTTAGTTCTCATTATGTTTCCCACAGGGCAATTAGACTTAATAAAAAAATCTTCTCAGGGCCAGTATATTTCTAATTGCTCATCTGCCGAAGGCTTCAAGTGTGAACCTTCCTAGAGCCAAGGCATACAGATCTGTCATCTTCTACCAGCTCCTGGGCAACTTTTCTCCAGGTAGTGCTTCCAAGATCACATACTCAGCAGTGCCACACCTTCCACTGACCAAACTGAATTAAAATAAATGGTTTGTGAAACTAAAGAAGTGTCTTTTTTTTTCTTCTTCACCTATATTTTTAGTCTGCCTTATACAATAGGAGAGAAAATAAAAATAAAATGACTTGGCTACAATCCAGACCTGGCAGAAAACAAACACATGGCCCATGAATGTCATCTGAGATCAACCCATGTCATGTCATGTGCTAACTCTGGCTGAACCCATTAGATAAGTGGCAAGAACTAGCAAATTCACATATACACAAACACACACACTCACATATAAACATGCAAGTGTGCATGCACATGCTCAAGCATGCTCACCTACACATTCTATGTAAACATCATACTGTATCCTTAATCTCCAGGCCATTTTAGGTAAATATTCTGCAGTACCCGCATATTTCAAAGGAAAAAAGAATTTTGGCTAGCCCAACAAGAAAAAAAAGTAAGGAGAAGGAAAAAAATTTTTCCTTTGCTAAATTACTTCCTATGCGTAAGTACTGGTAGGATATGTGATTTGTGTTTACTATAAACCCATGCATTTTCTTATGCTCTGCTCTCTCCAAACAAAGAAAAGCAAACACAAGACTATTAAAAAGAAAAACAAAAAAGAAACATTAAAACCAGCTAATGATGTTTTCTCTCCACTCTCTTTATGAAGTCAAAGTTTTAGTAAAACATCAAAGCAGCTGGAATAGATGCTCCTTGCAGATTCTTTAGGTCTAAAATGTAACTTGAGCTATAATCTCTCAGCTGCGGATGCATTTTTAATTTTCCTTAAAGATTTCCTATGCTGTACTTTTCATTTCACAGCTTTTTTTAATTCCTCAAGCCTTGCCCAGTGGAGTGAAAGTGACCTTAATGAAGAAAGGAGAGATTAAACCACCATGACTTTCTTTGGAACAGCAGAGTATCTCAGCTGTAATTCTTTGGCTGAGAACCAGAGTCTAAAACTGGCCATGGGAAAAGCTGCTGAAATGGAGCCTGCAATTCTCTCCATGTTTGACTTGCATAATGTTGACATTATAACACCAGAGAGACCCAAAAATATTTCAAACAATTATGATTTTTTTATAAATATTTTAAAATTGTTTTAAGAGAAAAAAATAACATATTTTACCCTTTTTGTTTTCTAAGTTACTCTGGTCATCCTCAGCAGCTCACTACTATGGGTTTATTTTTGTCTAGAAGGTCAGGGAGGACATCTTAAGGCGCTAAGTCTGCTGTGAAACTGTGTTTTCAATGTGAGTTGCATGGTGAGTAGGGAAGTAAGCTACTCTTAAAGCAACAACTAAATTCTGTGTCCTAGCCTGGGAAAATATGTTGTTTCTCTATATAAGTTTATAAAATATATTGCTTCTGTTGAAGCCCAGGCAAGGAAAAAATCAAGTACTCAAGATCTTTTAAAAAGTCTTCTACCTCTTGATGAGCACGGGTTTCTTTCTGGACATCATTTTTCTCCCCTTTCCCTTTCATTACTCTTCTTTGTTTCAGTTATTTCTGCTATGAAACACACGTTTAAATATATTGACACTTCTCCATTAGGAGAGGGTATAAAAAAGGAGGGAAAATTATAGAGATGGCCAAGGAAGCTATCACTTCTGGATACATCATTTAACTATTTCAGGCCTCTCTTCTCTTTAAGTTTGCCAATTGGTAATCACCTAGAGAGTGAGAGGTGAAATTAATTTGAAACCTGCAATTTCCTCTCTCAGAGAATATGATTAAGAGGACTGAATTCTAAGCTCTGCAAGTAGATTATGATATCCTTAGTCACCGATGAGCTGAATGATCAGTAGGTTAATAACCCTTCAGTGCAATTTCAATTTCTCTCCAAAAGCATAAAGACCAGGGACCTGGCTTGCCTTCAACATAAATGCCCTCAGCATGATTTGTAGCATTTACTTTTGATATGAAAACATCAGATGCCAAAGCTGACTACTGTATTCTTCCTAAAACATCCACAGAAAAGTCCTCCTAGTTTATAATTTTAAAGCTAAGACAAGTTTCCTATTTGCTACTAATTAAATTTGCTTTCAATCAAATCATGCAAAGAACTTAGATGTAACAAAATTCGGTGTCATTTCAAAACACTGGGGATGGAAACGAGAAGACAGAACTCACCCTCACTTCCAGAAAAAGCATCACTTGAGCCTGCCAGTACCAAGGTCATGAGCAGACGCCAGAGATCCATACCTGTAGGACCTGCAATCACAGAAAGAATAAGGTAAGCCCAAGCAATTAAAAGTAGACCATTATCATGAAATAATGTTTAAAGCCTGGAGAAACCATGAACGAGCTGACATGTCAGTTCTAGAAAGAATTCTAGTAAGTCTTTCATTGCTCTAGAGTTTCATGTTTTCATACATTTCATGAGCACAAACAGCAAGATTGTAATAAATTCTACTTTCTGTGGGTGCTTGCTTTAGGAAATAACTTGGACACTAGAGATTTTCACATCCTGGCTGACAGCCATAGACCACCTCACAACAAAGGACCCCCCAAGCATTGCTTCAATAACAGGACCACTGTGGTTCACTTAAATTGAACATGGAAATTTAAAAAAAAAACAAAAAACTTGTCAGCAGTATCACCAAGCATGGGGTCTTGAGCTGGGCAGAGCATAAAAGGAAAAACAAAACAACCCATTGTGATAATAACATTTCTTAAGTCTGTTTCCCAGTGGACAAAAGAGCTCAATTAACACTCAGAACACCCTAAAGGAGATCTAACTAGAAGGGGAACAGAAAGAAGGGGAGAAGCAAAAGAAAACAAAACAAAGCATCCGTGCTTCCTAGGTGTCCTCCCTAGGACATGCTGTGTCTTTGTGGATTTTTAGTTTTATGAGGAATGTGGGCTCCGAAAGACCCAAAAACTGTGAATACCTTAGACACCAAAAAGTTTGTGGTCTTGCTAGCCATTTGGAAACCCAAGGGTGGCCACACCTGCAGTCCTTCAGTCTAATGAATGAGGGAGCAGATCAACACATCTCAGTCAGCACACACATTTATTTGGAGGAAATAAACTTCTCTGGAAAAAATAAACCGAGTCCATGTCTAAAATATCTAGAGATAAATTTCACCTTGTTGAAAATGAACTCAGTACACTGCTTTTCGTAGAGCTGTTGCTGCATCTGACAACTAATGCCAACTACTGTAAAGCTTAGCTGTAGCATTTCCATGCAATCGCACACCATTCACAAATCACTCAGGTGTACCTGATCATAACACCATATGCTCTACCAGGGCCTCTACTGGCCTCATTTTTATTATTGTGCGGACTTGACAATAGTGAAATTGCCATTCTCACCCTCCCTAATAAGGCTGCAATGATGAGCAAGAATGTTTGTTTTCATGGGCTTACCTGTGTGGTTCTGTGGCAATGGCTGTGTAACTCTGAATAGGTATAAAATGTCTGATTTCTATGCTTTCATTTCTAGACACTGGATAATCTATCATTTTTGTTGTTGTTGTTCCATATGATTTCATGTTCTTGAAAAATCCGTTCTTAAGAAAACACATCTGTGTGAACTGAAAATCTTCCTGCATCTGAATACTCACGTGCACACCCACATTTGAGGAACCCCCTCATCCACTGCCTCATGGAGTCATTGATGTAATCGAGTGTGACAGTGCAGTCAAATGTGACATTTCAAACAAATGTAAATTGCGGTTATTGTGACATCTGTTTTTAATTTCTAACCTGGAAGGCTCTGGGCTGACAGCCTTGCATCACCCTTGTCTACCTCCTAAATGTGAACTGCCGAGCATCCCTCCCTACATCCTTCACTCGTAGGCTATGTAATCACAGCCGGAAGCCTCCTGCAGAAAAAGGCTAAAAACAAATACGTTATAGGCTGAAAAGGCCATCCTGTGGGTAACTGCATATTTCCTTTTTTGTTTTAATTTTTTTTTTTTTCCAGTGGGGAAAGCATCGAGGAACTGAACTCTATACAGTGTTAATTTTACTAGCCAACCCCAACACACTTGGTGTCAGGGAAAGAATCCTCCACTGGCACATCCTATCTCGATATCAGGTTGAAACCCCAGTTCCCAGGCAGCTTCCAAACTGAGTAAGGATATAAACAGGTTTACTTTTCTCAGAAGAAGGAAGTCACTTCTTCAGACATCTCAAAGGGACCAGGCAGTTGCCAGAAACAAGGGTCCTTTGCTTCATATGAATAGAAGATGACCACCCTACAAGCCCCAAATTTTGAAAGCTGCTGCCTGCAAATGAACTTCACTTCTCTCAAATACAAAATTGCAATTATCACAATTCCTTTACAAGCCAAACATATCTCCACAAACATATTCTATCTTACAAAACAAAACAAACAAAATAGAATCCCCAAAGCAAAATTAGCCAAAAATCTGTTTGCACATTCCCATAGCAGAAAAGGAAGTATTTAAAACTTCCATTTTTCCAAATAGGAGATGAGAACAATTCACTGCCACCTGGAGCATTGCATAGGGACCCAACTCTAACATACTAACTAGGGGTAAGATACAGAAGGAGGATAAATAAACGTGATTGGATTCAGTAGGAGCTAATTGTTTTATTAGAATCTAACTCTTCCTCTCCTTTCCACTGATGTTGGCTTAGTGGGAATGACTCCAAAATAGCCCCCTCTGCACTCCCCTGGAGAACTCCGTCTAGTGCCATCACATAACACAGGCCAACAGACATTCAATTTGATTTGATTGTAAGCTGTGCCCCTCAGCTTTGCAGAGCTCCATGTGGCAGCTTTGAGATAGGACGATCTATCTTTATTAGGTTGTAGCTGAGATAAAATGTCCCTAGGAGAGGACAGAGTGCTGACACACAAAGTTTGGAACTTTAATGAAATCTATCAGTGATGTGGCAGATGTGAGGAAGAGGAAGTCCTACCAGAACCTACCAGATTGCACCCTAGCCTATTGGGTTTTTTAAGTTTGCTCTATTCTCCTAGGGAAAATCCCTCTCTAAATTTCTTATGATATCTATGCATTCTTTGGCTATTGCCTCATGGCAAGATTTTCATTGGGGAGGGGAAAAATGGGCTTCTATTCTTGCACAATAGAACTCACACCATTTTTACCCTCAATGCCTGAGGCATTTTGCCTGCTCCCCCTTCCTGAAGGGAGAACCAGTTGAAAACCAGTGTCCAGCTGGCATGAGTTTTAATTCTGTAAACTGCCCAGCACAGGAGGCCTCCAAATTATGTAATCAGGCCTGTTATATACTGACTTTTACTCCTTGGCTACAAAACAGTCCATAAACACATGAGAAGAGATGAAGGTTAGATATGATATTTTTTCCAACATGTTATAACCAACTGAGGGCAAAGAAAGCAATTGGTTCAATTCTCCTTAATTTAAATTTAGTGGGTATTTGTTGAACTACTAGTGCCTGGTAGTATGCAAGGCACTATGAAGATTAAAGCTAAAGCAATTAAAATCATAGTTCCTGACTTCAAGAATTAGGCAATATGAGCACATGGAACTGTGAAAAGAAGAAGCATACTTAAAAATGGAAGGTTAAAGTAGGGAAAATCAGCTACTTAATTGAGGGGCTTAAGATAAGAACTAAATGACAGATAGGATCGTGATGGATAAGGAAAAGTGAGAGGGACTGTGGTGAACTTCCATGGGTAAAAGCTCATTGTGAATGCTCTGGGTATGGCATGAATTCTAAGTGCATTTAAGGTAATATTCTGAGGAGGCTACTCAGTAGAGAACAAGGTTAAAAATTATTAGTGAAGAGGGATAAAATTAGCCCAGCAAGGAAGAATCAGACTGAAACAGCATTTTCAAATCATATTAATCAGAAAGTCACTAGAGGTTTTGGCATAGTTAACATGTGCAAAAGAAGATTTTTCCTATGATAAAGCTGCTCCTCATGGTTTCCTAACTTAATGAGAAATATTGACAAGACTTCGTGATGACTGGGTAGGAGAGATGATAAAGACAGACATGTCTATCACAAGTGACTGAGTACATGTGCTGATGAAAGATAGTGCTAGTGACAGAAATCAGGACTTTGGGATCTGAGTTATTTAGGAGGAAGAGACTAAATCATGACTATTTTGGATACTTGAGTGTTTATGCATTCAGGAAATGTTAAAAATGTCTAGTGGGAAATTGGAGGAAAAAGACCAAAGACTGAGAGAGAAGAGAGGTCATTACTGGATGTGAGAGATAGTTACATAAAGATGATGAGTAGTATCACGTGAATTCAATGTGAAGACTAGACTATTAAAAAAAAAAATCCCCACACCATCTCTATCAAAAACAGTATTAAAACATATATTAAGCCATATAGGGAAAAATGTGCAGAAACAAAACAAACCACTGCCCAAAACCATCAATACCCTCTGATTTGTATCAAGCATTTACAGGTAAAGTGGTCACAAGTGTCCTTAGAAGTGTGATGTTAGCATATTGATACATGGGAAGAGTAAAATCATAGATGTGAGAGCCTAAAGTCCTGTGAAGGCATAGTCAGGAAGAATACAAAACCAGCAGCTGAATTAATCAGAAATAGTTAAGTTTCCCCAAATTATTTTCACTGATCTAGCTATTCTGATACTGAAAAAGCAAGAGCTGATTTAAAAAAATACCAACAGAAACAGAATTATTTATATTGCAAAAATAAAACTCCAGGTAGATAACCTAAGAAATGTGTACTTACTGATGCTGGTGCTGATTACTAATAAAATATTGCAAAACAACCCAGTCGGTCTCCTCACGGAGCTTTTCTAAGCACTCAGCACTGTAAAAGGAAGAGGCTAATCCAAAAGGGTATTTGAAATTACCTATTCTAATTAGCACTGGGAATTTATTTGAACAGTTTTCATTCAGAGTTCATGTTATTACCTACTTTTTATGGTGCCGATCATTTGAAAATTGGTCAGATCCAAAGTGCCTTAGGTCAATTTACTTTCTTCGCAATAGTGAGGAAGGAAAAATTCACAGATATTTCTGATATAACTATGTACTTTCATTGAGTTTCCCCCCTCCTTCCAGGGATCTAGTGGGGAATACAGCATGGCAATTTTAAATGTATAAAGTTTGAGGGGGAAAAAAAGGCTTTGGGAGCAGTATTTATAGTAGGTCTCCATTTTTATAAGACATATAAGCATTTACGGTATGTACTTGTGTTGACCAGTTTGGTTGCTACCAGTCACATATGACTGTTGAGCACTTGAAATGTGGCTAA